TGGACCGGCTCGGCCCGAATTTTTTTAAACGTTGAAACAAGCGAAGCTTTCCCGGGCTTTACAGGCCCTGCCCGACCAAATTTTTTTTCCGTTACCCAGGTCTACTAGCCTTGCAACGTCTTTAAATCTAGCTTTTTTTTGCTACTCTGTCCTTATATCTCTACCCCTTTTTTCTACTTTCTAACTCCCCCATACTCCTGCCAAATTACCTTTTCATGCCTATCTTACCCCTACTTTTCCTTGCCTTTTCTTCACCCCTGTTTTTTCTTCCTGACTTTCCTTTCTTCCTTCCTTCCTATCTTTTTATTCAATTCATGCCCTACCCCTGCCCGTGCCAAACTGCTTTTTTCTTCCCTACCCTACCTTTCCCTATCTCCTCCTTCTTCCTTTTTACTCCACCCCTACACCTACTAAAACGTGAAATTACAATGTCGTGAAGAATCCGCTAGAAATGAGCAGTTAAAGGTTTTATGACAGTTTTGCTCTCCTATAATATGTTACCCTTTACAAGTTTTTGTCTGGCCTACCTTCATAAAAAAGACCTTGCAAGTTTTACTGTAAAGCTTGTAATAATTTTACAGCAAATAGATGACCATCTTGGGCCTTTAGTTGTTGTACCGGTTTAATTTCTTTTGTCGTTTTTCTGCGAAACCAGAATTGTTTTCGAAATTGGTTAAAACTCTCGAAAAGGCGAGCTTAAAAGGCGCTGCTTAATACAAAATTTGTTTTTTCAAGTTTGGTTTTGTTTTGGGTCTTAAAGAAGTACTGTAGGACTTAAAAGAGGTATTGTAAGGCTGAAAAAGGCACTGCATAACCCTAAAAGGTACTGTAAGGCTTAAAAAGTTTTTTTTTCAAAAAAAATAGTGGGTTAATACAAATGATACTGCAAGGCTTAAAAGGGGGATATATGCCTAAAAAGGGTACTGTGGGGCTTAAACGGATACTGTATGACCAAACAGGGTACTGTACGGCTTTTAAGGTCATTTTATTGTAAGTTAATGATATCTTAAGGTCAGTCTAGGATATTTATCCCACTCTATAGTTTAAAAAACTTTGTCGCTTTTCCCTTTACAAATCAATATAAATTGACGACAAAACTTTTTTAAACTTTAGTATAACTTAAGCTTGGCAACCTGAGGACATATGACAACTTTACTAAACCTAAATCTATTAAGTTCACCATTATTTACCTCAAAATACTATCGATGATGATATAGTGTTTGTCTCGCACTTGACTGTCTATCACAGCTCCAATTTGTTTGTTTATTAAGTTCGTCTTTAATCATTTTGTAAATATTCAACGTGTTTTCAATTTGTTTTACTTTTTCGAACGACTTATTTAAGCTCGCGTGGGTTGTTGGGTGTGGTTTTTATAAACATTAACTTTGTTTTTTCAAAGTTTGCGGGTTTGAAATTGGCTTTTACGTGATTTTTAAAGCTTTGTAGGGTAGGGCTGAGTAAGATAAGGTAGGGTAAATTAGGATCGGGTAGGGTAGGGTAGAATACTGTAAAATGAAGTAGGGTAGAGCAGGGTAGGGTGTCAACCAGACTAATTTGGTATCTTCATGACAACACATCTTCTTATAGAATTCAATCAACTTGATTACTAATCTACCTTTTAAAGCCCCATAATCAGTGTTTTTAATTATCTTACCTCAATCATCTACTTTTCCGTACCTTTAATATTGTCATACATCGTAGCCCATCTTCAGACTGACAGTCATTACCACAACTTTTTTAATTTTAGTATATTATCTTTGCATCTAAAGCCTACCTTGCCTAAACTCAGCCTTTACCATTCTTCATTCCTACCTTAAAAACCTAGCACTTCTCATACACTACCTTATATTCACCATGATCCATCCTTCCCTGTTTCTATTTTTTTTTATATTCACCCTGATCCATCCTTCTTTGCTCCTATATTTATTATATTCACCATGATCTATCATTCCCCGGTTCCTAGGAATAGTATATGCAACAAAAAACAACTGTGTATATTATTATTGCGGGTCAAAAGTTGGCGTCTGGTTCGCATCAATCAAAACTTTTGGCATTTTTTACGTTTTTGCATGCCTTCGGAAGTCAAAGAAAAAGAACGTGGATTTGTGTTTGGCTATGAGTAATACTAACGGAATGTGCTGGAAGAGAACAGATTTGAAAAAACATAGTTTGGAAGACAAAAAAGTTTTGCTATAATGGATTAGTTTGGTGTTTCAGATGTTATTTGACTATGGTTTTACATTTAATTTCAGTTTATTATCATGTTAGTTCAAATTAAGTAGCGAGTTTCGGGTAAGAACTAATGTAGATACGTACTTCTCGTCAGTACGTAAATAAATGGTAGGGTTAAAGTTGGGTATGAGTGCAAAGAGGAAAATGAAAGGAAGGTTTTTTAAGAAAGATATTGTTTAAAGCTAAAATGTCTTTTTTAAATTAATTTTAGGCTCAAAATGTCATACCCTAACCTCCATTAACTTTTTCAAAAAATACTTTGCCCAGGCCCATTCAGGTTTAACCGTACCCAAGAACGGGTACGGTTAAATCTGAACCACTCTCTAAACAAATTTTTAGGATTATGTAGCTTAGAATTATTTGAACAAACTATTATAATAAAAAATTTTAAAAAAGGCAATTTGGCCGTATAAAACTGCAAATTTATATTTTTTACTAAAAAATGTTAAAACCAAAATTTGAATTTTTTTGATTACTGTAACTTAAAGCCCCTAAAACCCTATTTTTTAACACCCCCCCCCCTTAATTCCGCTTCAAAATTCGAAAATTCGATTAACCTTTGCCATTAGCTACGACAAGGTTTGTTATGTCAAGTTTGTTTGTGATCTTCGTATTACAATCTGATCAACTATAACATTCCGCCAAAACTTTTTTTAATTTGTTTGTTTACCATGTTTTGTTGATCAATGGTCGTCGCTGAATTCAAGCTTAAAAGCCAGCTGGAGGTGTTAAACCAATCAGTTATGGTTTAGTGCACTATTTGTCTATTTTTTGGAAGTAGGGGTATTCTTTACGTTTTTTTTCAAGAGGGAGGAGTAAATTTTAGATCTTTTTTCAGAGGGGAAGGTGCGGAGGGGGAGGGGAGGAGGGGAAGGGTGATTTAGTTTTCTTTTTAAGAATGAGGGGTAATCGTTAGGCCTCTTTTTATAGGGCAGGGGTAATCTTTAGGCCTCTTATTAGGAGAGAATGGTGGTCATTAGGTCTGTTTTAAGAAGAGAGGGGTGATTTTTTAACCTTTTTTTATAAAATTTTTAAATTTTGTGCAATTTCATATGTTATACTAACCTTCCCCATCACAGACTCCAAACTAAACCCTGAAGAATGTCTGTTCTCTCATGATAGCTGTTCATTTAAAAATAATTTTACGTGAGGCCAAAAATCGTTGGCCTTTCGTCCGGGCCACGCCTTGAAACTTTGGGCAAGCAGCTGATTTTAACGTCATGAGATTTTAATGATGGACCGCCCACACCCGCTGGCCTGGGATTAACGTTCCATCAATTTGAATTATCTTTTATCAATTCCGTGTTTATAAAGTTTTGGTTGGGCATGGAAGAATGTGTGTTTGGTACAGTATAGTTTGGAGTGAGGTAGGGTAGAGTGGTAGAGCTGAGTAGGATAAGGTGGACCTAGGTAGGATAAGGTAGAGCTGGGTAAGATAAAGCAGGATAGGGTAGGGAAGGCTAGAGTTGGGTAAGGTAAGGTAGAGTACGGTAAGGTAGAGTAGGGTAGGGTAAGATAGGGTAGGGTAAACTATGCGTTAAAGTAGAATAAGGTATGCATAACAATATAGGCTTGGGCATGATAGCATACAATATAGTCAGTTAAGTAAGCATGGAATATCCTACATTACCATAGCCTAAGGCCCATTTTTAAAACATTTAATTTACAAAAAAATCAATTAACTTATTGTACACTACTACCTCCTTTTAGATATCTAAACTATCATTTAAAAGCCATTGTGATCTCTTGATCTCCAAAGTATTAAATATCTTTTGCTTTTTCAATTTTGTTTTGGATTTGAAACTTTTTTTTGCCAAACATTAGAAAATAACAATGTGTCTACTGTAGTTAAATAAACATATTTGTTGATAGGGCATCTGATCATGTATAAACTTCCGTGCATATAAATAACCATGGGCAATTTATCAATCTTTTGTATCTTCTACACCATATTGTAATTATCCTTTTATATCATATGATGATTAGATATATGTTTTGACACAAGCCACCGCTCCCTTTACTATTAATAACTACTTGAAGCATGTTAACATAAGTTAAATTATTATTATTTGTTCCCTGATTTTTTGTAAATTTACCCTAAGCCATGGCTCATTATTTTTTGAAAATTTTCGTTTTGAATCATAGCTCATTACTTTTTGAACGAAATAATATTTCTTTTTTCTTAATTTACGTAGAACTTTCATGTTGATTTAGATGCTAGAACAAAGTTCATAAACTGACCTCAAATTTCACTTTCCCTAAATATGTAAACTGATACGGTTGGATAAACGTTCCCTCCGGGCTTTTAAACCATTTGCATGTTTGTCAGCATTTAACTCAAAGTTTTTATAAACTTTCAAAGCCCACGTACTCTAAAACTACTATGATATTGAGCTACTACTTTTAAATTCCTTTAAAATTTTTTTTGATTGTAGCCTAGGTTCCAGGCCTAAATGAAAGCCGTTTCCACACCGGGCTTGAGCATAATTCAGGCGGACCAAGCCTAGTAGGCCCTTTTCAGGTCTAGTATGGGCCAATTTGGCTGTCAAACCGAAAAAGTGGCTGAAAAATAGGCCCGACCCGAAAACCAGGTTCTTCCGGAAGCCCAACTTAGGTCCCGCAACGAAGATTTGAATTGCGAAAAATGTAAAATGAATCTAAGGTTAAACCCCCATTACATATATTAGTTTTTCCTTAAATGCGCGTCTGTTTTGTACCTATAGCATGTCTATTAATAAAATCTATAAAAACGTATTTTCAGGCGAAACATGATCCTAAGATGGTGTAGTGGTATCTTCTTTTTACTCTTGTTCACGGATTCTACGGCTTTAAAATCTAGCTTTACATATCATCCTCAAGGCTCAAACACATTGTTATATAGTCCCGGGTTAGAGCCTATTATGCATTTGGATCAGGTAGGTTTTAGGGCTTTATATTGGAACATATTTACTTTAACTTATAGTTGGCAATTCGTTAAAAAAGATAGTCAAAAAAGTCTTGTCGTAAATTTACAAACGTTTTAATGTTAAAAAACGGCGAGACATTTTTTTGTAATTTGAAGCTTTATACCATTCACTAGTACACTACCTGTACTCAGTTGACTCCCCCAGGTTCTTCAGTAACGTACTTTAGTATACTATATAAAACAACCTTTACAGGTCACCTTCGACGAGACCATCTTTGACATGAACAAGAAAAACTCGTTCTTGGTCGAGTTCTATGCTGATTGGTGTGGTCATTGTCGTGCCTTTGCACCATATTTTAAAGAATTTGCATCGTTAGTCTCAAACTGGAATGAAGTTACGATCGTGGCTGCTATCAACTGTGCCGACAGCTTTAACGCTGACATTTGTCGAAAGAATGGTATCACTTACTTCCCTATGGTTAAGGTGGGTTATTGTTACATAAAGAATTGTAATAATATTATGATATTGTCTTATGACACAAAAGAGCTGAGGATATGGTATGGTAGAGTAGAGTAGGGTGGGTAGGATAAGGTAGAATGTAAAATAAAACCAGGCGTGAATACAATATACTCTTACAGTACTTTCCCCGAGTAGCCTCAAACTACGCTGAAGGACAGTTACTAGACCCATCTCATTCAGCCACCAATCTTAGAGATCAACTGGCTTCAAAAGTCACCAATGAATACAGTGTACGACGCTATCCGGAATGGCCCAACTTTAGTTATGTTGATGTTACTGGGTATGTCATTTTTAAACCTCGCAAACCACCTCTTCCTCAATTTTTTACAAGGCTAATATGAGCTTGTTCAAGTAATTCCTGTCCTCTCTTTTAGCAATTTTTTTTGAAGCTGAAGGGCACAAAATTATTTGAACAAAAGTAATATATTAATATTGAACTTGATCCCCCATGTTAACGTTAAATTTTTTTTTCAAAATCCGTTAAAAATCTTTGACCCCCCCTCCCCCTATCCACAATTTCCACCCCACCCACTCCCAATGCTGATTTTACCCAAATTTTTAAAAATAATTCCAAATCTTTTAGCAACACCAAATTCGAAGACCTTTGGAATGGAGTTTTGCCTCAGGCCAAGTATATGACAATTGTATTCGAGCAGTACGACAGTGTAGCCGCTCAAGCCATGTTGGACCTATGGCCGTACCGGAACCACGTTGGCGTCCGCCGTGCCATGGGTAATTCGCCGTTAGTTCAAATGCTACACATTGCCAACTTCCCTTATGTGGCTTTGTTCAAGCGAGGGAATCAGCAGAGCATCTTTATGAGCCCGTAAGTATCTTTTACTATTATACTAAATCATGAGTATCTTTACTACGATATCTTTGTAATATAATTCTCTAGCCCAACCTACACTAATATAAAGTTTATATTAGATTTTTCAAATAATTCTAAGCCCTCAACCCAAAATTTCGCTTTGTGAGGGGGCACAGAATTAATTAAACAAATAAAAACAATTTTGAATAATTTTACATTGTTATACCCATGTGATTTACAAATTTCAGGTACGGCTACACCACCCTACAAGACATCATGGCCCGAGCCGATCCAAACGAACGTGTCACTCGCCCTCCAGTCATCACAACCACAACTCCAAAGCCCGAAAACCTTGTGAATTGTGAAAAGAATCCAGAAAAGTGTCAGACAATGTACTTCGCATCGGAAACGGACATGCTGAAGGCTATGCGACAAGCCCTGGTCGATGAAATCATTCGAACCAACGACTTTGTCAATGGCCAAAACTTTACAAATTTACAGAACTTCGTTGGGCTTTTGGCTGATGTAAGTTTTGGAAAGAATAAATTAGGTTTTCAAATAATTCTGTGCCTCCTAGTATCAAAAATTTTCTTTGAGAGGCAGCACAGAATTATTTGAACAACGTAATACCAAACCTAACGAAAATACTCTTTAAAGTACAGATGTCCATGTACTAACGGTAACACTGATTTAGTACTGTATGGTACCACGTACCATTTTTTAAAACCCGTTTTTTTATGTTTTCATATATTGAAACGCCATTACCTTTAATCTTTGTGAAAAAATCTTTCTTTTCAGCATTTCCCCACAGTATCGTACGCTAACGGTCTTCAACGCCGAGCTCTTAAACGATCAACAAGTGTGGTAGGTTCACATTATTAGTTTCGTTTCCACGTACCTCTTTAGTATGAAACTCAAAGGTCTGGTCTAAACCTGTCCTTATAAACAGGGTGTCGCACTAAAGAGAATTTAATTTAACTATTAGTTGCACCAAAAGTAGTGAGGCACATTTTAGTTAAAAAATAAATAAAAATTGTCCCGCTACTTTTGGTTCAATAGTTTTTTTCGAATTTCCAAAATTTTTAAGAACCCAGCTTTAAAAAAATAAAACGAACCTTTTTTAATAAAACCATAACTACGTTAACATAATATGAATAATGTCACTTTTCAGTCCCTGAAAAAAAGCGCAGCGGCCAAAGAAATCTTTGATCAGTTGAGGAAGATGCTTGACACCAAACCAGGAAAGATCTCCATCAAAGAATGGAAAACAACTTTTGAAGGACTTGAAGTAAGTTTTTTTACTTTACATCACCTATACTAATGTGATAAGTATAATATGCAAAAGCTATTGTACTGACCACATCAGTATAACCTTCAAAAAGTCGTCAGGTACCGAATTTTTGTAAAATTTTCTTCAATTTTTAAATGCCCCTCCAACATAAAAATAAAAAATCAGGACCGCTACGGAAAACCATTCCCAACCGACTCAGATTGGCAGCATTGCCGTGGTAGCACTGGCCAATACAGAGGTTACACTTGTGGACTGTGGACGACATTCCATACATTGACAATCCACACCTACATGGACACTATCAAAGGTAATTTTGCAAATCTTTCGTTTCCAACTCTTAAACTCATTAGAACCAACATTAAACGCCATAACATTACAAACGGCATTACTTTAATAACATTACACATCATGTACAACATTTGCAGCTCAAAAGCATTATCTTATTATAAGTAACACACTTCAAGTTTAAAAGTTCATTAATTTCAGCCAAAGGCTTAAAGCCAATAACTCCATTGAAACACATTCAAGGCTGGGTGAACTCATTCTTCGGATGTGAAGACTGTAAACAACATTTCATGCAAATGACAACCGAAAAGTTCCCCATGACCGAAGATCGGGTAGGTCTTTTTTTGTGCAAAAAAAATTTTTAAAAAATAAAAATTTTTAGATTAAAGGTACACTGAGGTTGTTTATAACTAATTTTTCAAAAATTTAAAATTTTTTTGGAAGTTAAACTTAAGAAACATGTAAACTATAAAATAATGTACCTGCTCAGCAATTTTTGTAGATACATATCAAAGTTACAGCTCGCCAAGGTCAAAAAATCTTTCTTTTCAGCTATTTTTTTCCAAGCGGATCCGAACTTTTTTAGTTTTTCAAACTTTTAAACGGGTGTAACTTTTTTGTATATTGAAATATTAACATGAAATTTTGAAAATATCTACATTATTTTATGCTTCATAAAACGAAGTTTATAAATCTTCAAAAAATTTAAACTTAATTTTACTTAGCTGTCGGCCTAAAATTTCAAAAAAATAACCACCTCTTCCCTCCCAAATTAAACTAAAATTTTAGGTAAAACACTCACACGACATGTTCATGTACCTATGGCGTGCCCACAACATTGTCAACAACCGTCTTCACGGTGATTCGACCGAAGATCCTCAATTCCTCAAATATCAATTCCCACCGTTCTTCCTTTGTCCAACGTGCCACGCTGGAGGACAATTCAGTCGACGAAAAGTCAGGAACTTCCTTCTTCGATACTACGTCAACATTCGACCTTATCATAGGGTTCATTAGAGGATTTGTGATATTATCATTGAGTTCAGTGGGTTGTTGATGTTGTCATTGATCTGAAAGGTTAATATGAATTGGAACTTGATATTTGTAGATCTTGTGAAAGATTATATTGCTGTACAGTCTGTCTATGTTCTCTTTTCTATATTTGTCCTCCTAACTTTACATTATCCTCAATTTTCGATGTTCTTACCTACTACAACACCCTTTGGATCAAACTTTTGATTATCCAACTTCCTTACCATCAAATCCATTGCATTTCCCACTGTCTAAAGCATTTTCCTCCTTAATATTGCCTTTAATAATGTACATAATATTCGAGCTAATTTTGTGAACGGGTTCCTTTTCTTTTTCTCTGTCCTCTCTCTTCCAAAGCCATAATGTCTCGCCTTTTGTAATATAGATACGCGTATCATTGTCTAGATTGTAATCCCGGTTATCAGTCAATTTGTGTAGCTTATAATTAGAAAATAAATAATGAAACATGGATAACTTGATTTTATTCTTTTTTAAAACCTTTTATTCGTATAACTTGGCGGTTTGTGGTCTGCAGGCTGCGGAATATAGGGCGCATTAACCGGTTGATGAAATTGTTGATTTTTTGCAGGAAAATCAGTTTTTAGGCCTTTTTTTTGTTTTTATGTTACTTTATTACCTTTTTTATTAAACAAATTCTCGTGTTATAGTTATCTTATTTATTTACGGCTTAATTTTGATACAATAATATCAAGTACAATACTGTTTTGATAAATAATACTCTAGAAAACAAAGATATCATATATTGAAGATATATAGGTGGGGATGGGAAACAAAACATGCAAGAGATGATCAAAATAGTAGATCTATATGATACAAAAACCGGTACTGCCATAGGGGATACTGTAACAATACGAGAATAACAATAAAGGTGGGGGTGGGTAACAAGGTGTAGTTAGTATAGAAGAATGCGTTATATCATGGATAATATTCTTCAGTATATATTATTTTACGGTTAATATTCAGTATATACTTATAAGCAATGATGCTATCATTGATTTTCGTAATATAATGTACGTTTTGTTCTATATACTGACAATATACACCTTGTTCCACCCCTAAAGACAATATTTAACAAAAGATACGCCATAACCAATACAAAGAGATTATAATATGACCCTGTAGACCTCGAAGATCTGACTCGAATAATTTACACCTAAAATGATACCTAAAAACCTACAGTATGTCTAGGGGGAGTTATGCACAATGAGAAGAGTGTCAACGTACTGTAACTTTGACTTGAGCTCGGTTTTGTACGTTGACATAGTATGATAGACAAACTGTAAAATGAGATGGTGAGAGTGCGGTTGTTGTTTATATTATTTTAGGTTGGTATGAATGACGCTTATAGCGATATCGCTAACGTAAGCCTCTAACATAGCCATACACAATATATAACCATGTAGGTATAGACATTAAACCGCACTTTAACCCTCTCGAATTTGTGGTATAGGTGTTTTCAAGGCGTCAGGCGACAAGTTAAACTTGGTCGTAGGTGTGCCAAGTCCCATGGCGCTCAAGAACGGCGAGTTCATCGAGTTCAAGCCGGGTGATTTGAGAATGGCAGCGATGTTGGCCGCCATCGAGTTGTGGGCCGAGGGGGGAGGGAATTGGAAAAAGTGTTGTTGAGCATTCAGACGATTCTGTTGGGGCGTATTGCTGGGTATGGGCGTGGTAAGGGCGGATAGTGAGTTGCCAAACATTGACAAGTGGTTGTTGTTCACTGAAAATTGAGGATATTATATTGTTGTATGTAGGTTATGAGGTGAATACTATTGTTTTAATAAAAATAAGTGGTTTAATACCTAAGTATTGCTTTACTGAGCTCGAAAAGATATTTTTTTCATCTAAAGTTAATTAAACCCTTACCTGTTGGACTGGCAGAAGCAAAAGCGGCCAACGGCAGTGGACTAGTCAAGAATTGAGGTAATGCAGCCAATGGGCTGTTCGGATTCATCAGAGAATTCTGTAGCGACGCTACAGCGCACAAGTTGTACAAAGGTGAGTTCTGAAGCAACGGAGACGAGGCCATGATTAAGTTGTTGGCCGCTTGAATGGCCGACAAGTTTATATTGGTCAATGGCGCCGTGCTCACGTTGTTGGTGTTGTTCTCGCTGCCGTTACTCACATTCGACACTCCAGTCAGATCTAGAGGCATCGGCTTTGGCTTTGATTTGCGTGGCCCGGACTGAGAGTTCATGTTCATCGACTGGTCGTTAAAGTCGTGGATTGACGTTGGGGTGGGTTGTTGGGAGTAGGAATTCGAACTTGGGGGTTCCATTTTTATTTTGTCCAAGCTGAATCCGTCCGCTTCTGCTTTTCGTTTTCTTGAAGTTTGTTGCGACGAACTGTAGTTGGTCGAAGCTGTTGATGAAGGTCGTGACAGGTGTTGTTGATGTTGTTGTTGGTGGTACACATCACTCAAGTTGGAGGCTGAAGTTCCGGCTGATGAAACACCCGAACTACTTCCAACCGATCCAGGAGAGCACGTTGAATTCATAGGAGATGGAGTTGAGGTCGTAGCATTTTGAACTTGAAGTGGCTTCGAGATCTCGAGTTCCGTATTCGCCGTACTCGTAGATGGAGTGAGGTTGCGGCGGAAGAAGAGGTCCGAGTTGGCCAGGGGTTGGCGGTTGGATTGGTTTTGCAGAAGACCAGCTTGTTGCATTCTTTGCCGTTGTAGCGCATACACCATGGCTTCGTTTGTGCACGCATCACCCGAAACCACGAATCTATAGACGAACTTCTGACCATTCACCTTCTTGATTATGTTTTTGTCATAGTAATACCGTAGAGCTCGACTCAGCTTGTCGTAGTTCATCTGGGTTTTGCCTTTTCGAAGGCCCCAGAGGCGGGCGACGGCTTCAGCGTCGATTAGCTGAAAAATGTTGTTTTAGTATCTAACGGCAATAAGACATAGTATAAGCATAATTTCAGCATTTAAGTAAAGTTATATGCTACTTAAAAATATAGTGTGGTACTACAAATGTCATAAGATTAGGGCTGGTAGAAAAAAGGAACACGGGTCTTGTAAAATAAGTTATACCTAATTTAAAAATGGTTCAAATCTAATTTTGTACAGAAATGTTTAGCTGGAATACCTAATTGAATTGTTTAGAAGGCTATTAAAAGAAACTGAATGTCAACAAAACTTGTGAAAATACATTTTCAATATTAATTTTTGATTTTTGATGACTAAAGTAGTCAACTTTGCAGCTTAAATTAATTTTTATGATTAAGCCTAGAAAATCTTTAATATCTAGGCCTAAGATATGCTAAAAGGTTCTCTGATATGTAGAAAAGACGGCGCAAGATAGCCTAAAACTTACTTTGAACTCTCCATCATTGTTAGTCCACTGAATGAGATCAGGATGTTCATTATGAGTCAACAACTCCAACAAGAACTGCCACAACTGAATGTTCGAGTCCATCGACGAACTCGACGACCCATTCATGCCATTCATATTCACATTCTTAAAGTTGTTCTGAATATTCAACATCGGGATCACTCCATTCTCCTGCTTGATCTGCGGTGGCAGATTCTGGAGCAGCTCCATTTGAGGTTGGTCCGATGTTACTGGAGCCGATTGAGCTCCACCGACTGGTCGATGGGGTCGAGTTGGTTGGGGTTGGGAGGTGGATTGTTGAAGGCGTGGGTGTGGCTGTTCGAAATATCCTCCGAATTGAGCTGGGTTACCGTAGTAGTGGAAGGGAGGGAAGTCGGCCGGATGGTTGGGGACGTAGCTGTTGTATGGGGGTGGATAAGCTGAAATGAATGATTATATTAGTATGGGTGTAGGTATGGATATGGAAGCTTGTTTAGGAAGCGGTGAAATATTGGGAATACGGACACGATGTTAGGTTTATATTGTTTATAATACACGGAAATGATTGTTTTGTTTAAATTAAGCGTTTAAGTCAAGCGGTTTATGAAGTTTTATCTTGAGAATATAGATAGATGTTTTGGCTGTTATGGAGTAATGATATATAGATATTTGTGTGGATTACAAGGTTAAAGATTGCGAAATTCTTAAGAATGTTTTGCAAACTTTTATGCAAATTAAAAGACTTGTTTGGATGCACAGCCGGTCGGCTCTTTGTGAATAATGTTGCGCAAAAGTTATTCACAAGATAAAAAATCGGAAGAGTGGTTATACAGTAACTAAAAACTAAAATATTTAAAAAACCCCCACCCTGAAATCAAAAAACGTACAATATTCACCCCACCCAGTACTACAATATTTACCCCACCCAACCTCATGCAATTCCATGAGCGGTAATCTGGGAGATGTGCCCTAATTGTCGCAATCCCGTATATCGGGTTGGATGATGATTTATGGCCCATCATCGGCCCCTTTTTACACGCCTTTAAAGGGGGGGGGGGGGGCGTTTAATCCTATTTGTATTATAGTAGACACGAACCTGTTTTCCGGTTATCATTAACTAAAAAATACACACGCAAATGTAAAACCATACGTTTTTGTGGTTGACATTCACGTTACTGCGACTGTAAAATAATGTGAATGTCACGCTGTAACAAGGCTTTACAATTTGTTGCGGGATCGGTTGGTACATTTCTTGGAATGGGCGGGTGGATATTGACGTAGGTTGGGGTTTTGCAAGATTTTTGGGATTAGCGTTGTGCTAGCAATAGCTTTTGATATAGTACTATGCTGAAGCTTAGGTATAGTACCATATGAACTTATAGGGTAGGGTATGGCAAGAGTAAAGCAAGGGTAGCGCAAGGGTAAATTAAGGGAACCGCAAATGTATGATAATGCTAGAGTATTACCTACCTAAGACCTTCCTTAACACACCAAGAAGCTAACATAATGTTAACAGTAAACAGACACTTACAACTAATCACTTATGAAACTAGTGGCCAAGCAGGAAATGAAAGATTTGTCCTATTTTATAGCGAGAACCGGAAATTTGAATAAAAATCTTTGAGATACAGTAGTCGGTAAAATACCAGGGTTTACGCAAAGTGAATTTTTTAGTAGTCTTTTACACGCGATTCTACACTTGAGGTTTTTCGGGTAATGACATAACTTCAGAAATGGGTTATTGTACCTATATGTTGTCGTATATCGGGCGTGGTACAAAAGTGGGTTTACTTAGGGGATAACTATTCTTACGTAGGTGATAACAACATGCTACGAGACAAATATGAAATTTTATTGATTGTAACAGAGCGGTAGCTCAGAATTATTTGAACAATTTAATATAGTTATTATGACTAAACTAAGGTCATTATGGCTGAAATAAAGTAGTTATGGCTAAAATAAGGTCACAATGACTAATTTAAACATAGTATGACGTGTTTCACGTCAAGATCTAATAGAAAAACAAACGTTTTTGTTAAAGGAAATGTAATTAGGTCCTTTTAAAGTGCAAAAACTTTTTATAAACCGAGAAGAAATGTCATAAATAATACATTACACCATATTAAATCAACTCTTTGAAACAGTGAAATACGAAAAAGTGCAAAAGAAGCCTATAAACATTTAAAATACGTCAACTTATACTAAAAGAGGTACTAAAGTAACATATATAAGTAGACTTAAAATAGCATTCAAAGATACCTAAAGATATTACAATCACGTCAATTTACCACACCACTTTCTCCCCAAAAATATGCAAAAACTCCAAGAATCTCCGATATTAATCACCTGATGAGCCCTGCGTTCCAATTAATTGTGTCCCCCGAGGGCATGAAACAGGGACAATCCACGGCCCTTTGCCCTCAGGGCCGCGAGAACGTCGAACGTGAGCGTGTTAAAGGAGGGGGGGGGGTAAAGGGGGAAAAGTGAGAGAATTCTATTAAACACAACCACAAACTCGCGCACACCAAACTTTTACTTTGTGACATTGTAATTAGAATAAAATGGCGTGAAACGTTGATAAGGTTGTGAGGAGGAGTGGAGATGTAAAGTAAGCTTATGTAGGACATGTAAAGGAAGGTTTAAGTGAGTTAAAAAAGATGAGAAATACTTAAAATTTTAGTTTGAAAAGTAATAAAGGAAAATTAAGCAAGGTTAAGGATGACAAAGCCTCAAAAACTTGTTTTAAAGTCTTATGAAGGTAAATGAAGGCTATAAGAAAACTTGTATGACTATAAAGCTGCTAACTTTAACAACCAATAGTGTTACACTTAATGACATTACTATGGTTATGCGCTCTGTAATAAAGCAGTTTTGTTGACGTAGTTAAACGTGAGCAATTATAATTACATGCAATGTTATTTTAAGCTTGACCTTTGAGGTTTTAGCCTAAAATTTTGAGTTTTTTGCACCTACATCTGACTTTTTGGACTAAAATCTTAATTTCTTTAAGTTAAATTTGAACCTTTTAGACTAAAAGTTCAATTTTTAGGCTAGGGACTAAAAATGTTGGCGTAGCTTTAAGGCATTAAAGAGACGTGCTTTACTGAGAAAACGAATATTATTATAGTTTTGTTCAGTAGCTACGTGTATTGCTATTCTTACAGAGAAACTAGAATGTCATTTACAGCTTTTAGCTTAAAATTGTATTGAGAAATGGGGCTTTAAAATGCATAAATACCACAAAAAAACCTACAACAATATAAAAAAAGCTTTAAAATATTAAAAATTGAAAAAAAAAATTTTAATTTTAGTTGGTACTACTTCAACTTAAAAATGCCTAAAACACCTTAAAGTAAGCCTAAAGCCTAGGCGTATCTTAAACTGTCTAAAACTTTCCAAAAAGCCATGCCCGGCTCCCTACCCCTCCCCACCTCCATCTCTCCTTTTCCAATGTAACCCGGCCTGTTGTAACCACGTAGCCGAGCCCCTTACACCGAGTAAGTGTAAGTGCTTGACAGGTGAGAAAACGCCCCGGAGGCATTTTTGGAGGGCCTTCCACTCATCTCGCACAGTTAATCCCCAAACATCCACAAAGTATACGGGCCGTGGCCCGAATCTATTAACAACCGCATCCACATCTTGGATTCAAAAACTCAAATTACCGTAGTCAATCCGGAGGGGGGATTGAACGTGGATTTGGGAAGAAAGGACATAAACAAAAGACATATTGCTAAAGAGTAATGTTGAGACAATGTGGGCAGGAAGTTAAGGTGGAATGTAAAGGAAGTTGAGGTAAAAGGTAATGGAAGTTAGAGTAAAATGTAAAGAAAGTTAAGGTAGAGAGTAATATCTTGTATGGGAAGGATTTTTGTTGTAGTACCGAAAGTTAAGAAGCGATAGGAAGGGCTATTGTAAGTTCTATAATTCAGCATATCTTTTCCAAAGCACCTTAATATCCTCTTCCTAATCTACCTAGCTAACCCTGAACCCCTACCCCATTTCAAACCTTAAATACCATACTAACGATACCTCCCAGCGTACTGGCACGATGGTTCAACACCTATCTAACTACGTCCCAGAAAGCGTTTTGTTGTAACCCAAACGTGAACAGGTGGAAAGAGAGCGCGGCTGCGGCGTGGTAATGTTCCCAGCTATTAATGAGTGTACATATGTGTGTGGGTACGGTATCAACGAAAACATAATTGTTATTACCTACATCTGCACGAAAGAAGTTAAACTTTGGAGTATCTATGTTTCATCGTGTTCGTTCTTGACTTACATTCTACTCTAGTCGGTACTTGATACGTCTTGTTAGATAGAAGGTTATGCACACTTCTATGCTTATATTGTACATAATCCTATACTCTTGTTATATATACTATGCCAATCTTATACTCAGACCTAAACTTAAATGCTCTATAATTGTTAGTGCTGACACCTTATAAAGTTTTAAACATTATCAGATCCTATGGGACTATCATGTTTGTTTTTGATAGTTCAAACAAAATTTGGACTTTTATGATGTTATAGATCGATAGATATATTGAGGTATAAGTAGCACTACGTCATGACAAAACTATTAAACAACTTTTTGCTTCTGGAACCTCTGGAACAGATATTATCTTATCATAGGGATTCTAAACCAAGCTTTGCTAACCTAGGGCTTCTAGGTTCATTTTGGTTTTAATACTCGGGCTTCTAGCTTTATCTAGTATTTAAAATCTAAACCTTAACCTTTCTTTAAACGCTACAACTATTCAAAAGACCATAACCTATTGACAAGCCCGCAAAACAATCACGGGCGAACAGTTTGTAAGATGAAAGTAGTTAAAGTTAATTTAAATTAGAAAAGAGTGTTTAAAGAGAGTAAGAGCAAGTTGTTTAAACGGCCAACTCTTGATATAATGCACTCGACCGGAAGGAAAAGATTCTGTTAACGGAAAGAAAGGCGAGATATCACATCTCGAGGTAGACGTGTGTACGTATAAATGTGTAGGAGAGGGTGGGGGGGGGGAGGGGGTAAAAGGGGGGTAGGAGAAAGGTTAGTATTTCAAATAATTCTGTGCTCCTTTTAAAAAAATTTTTTGGAGTTTGGGCACAGAATTATTTGAACAACCTAATAACTTCAAAGTTTAAAACAAAGAAAAGTCTGTATTATCAATACCTTGCCTTACTCTAACTTTTAAAGCCTAAAATACCCCTACTTACCCTACTTCCCCCTACAGTAATATAATAACATTATAATACCCAATATGCCAAAAAAACCAAAAAAAAAGTTTGTTCCATTAGCAGAACAATGCTTATGAAGGCATGCAGATTCTGAATAAGAAAACAGATTCTGAACAAAAAAAGTTTGGAAGTCGATCAGAAGAAAGGAAACAGCTGAAGCTGACAACTTCCATGGGAATCGCTAATTCCTGGCCAACTTTTTGGAATTTGCATAAAATTGAATAATTGCTTTGAATGTTAAAGAAGACGATCTGGCTACTGTCCTTTCATTCATTTTGAGGTTAAAGAAGATGATTCTTCCTTTGTTAAGGAAGGATCAAGTTAGGAAAGGGTCAGTCCTTTCACTCATTTTTTAGGTTAAAAAAGACGATCAAGCTACTGTGCTCTCTTTAGAACAATATATCGTCTTTGTTTAGGCTTGGCATGGGCTTTGTGACAAAGAAAGGTGGAGTTGCGGCAAATAAAAGCAATAAAGAGATAAGAAAAGAATGACAAGTTAAAAAAATTATAAAAAAAATAAAAAAGCAAGTTATAAGATATATTAATATTAAGTAACAAAATTTTAAAAATAAAGGCTAAAAATTCAAAAATTGCAAACAATTTTTAAAAAATTTAAAAAATGAAACAAATTAGGAGTTTTGATGAACTTCCAAGGACTTTTGAACCTGCTTAGCACGTAAAAAAATCTGAAATGATAATGGATAAGATAAAGAACA